GCCAACTAGTTACATATGTCATTCGTAACGTAAGCGCTAGAAAGTGTTAGAAGATGCCCGAAGGTTATATAGCGGATCCGGGCCGTGCGCGGACTAGGTCTAGAGCGCGCGTAGGTTAAGGTGTTAGAAGGTGCTGGAATGTTATAGGTATAACCTGTGATTCTCTAGCTTGGGCAAAGCCTGAGCCCTTGACAGTAAGGTTAGTAGCGGCCTAGTCGCTACCCTAAGGGTAATAGGGATCTATTATTAAATATATCTAGTCCTAGTTATCTATAAGGAGAAGTCTAGTTCTAAAACAAAAGAATAATAATATATAAGAGACTAGCCCTATAGTAACTATAGATAGGCGTATAATATAGTAATCTTTATTCTTATAGAAGGAAAAGGTAAATATAGGATATAGAATAACCCTCTCTAATATATCTACTAAACCCTTAGTCTATATGTAGGGCATATGCCGATCCTAGGTGCTGGGTCGGTTACATACGCGGGCCGGTTACATACGCGGGCCGAGGCAGGCGCGTAGGGCGGCTATAGAAGCTGCTAGAAGGATGCTAACCAATCTAAGGTAGGTCCGCATTAGATCCGGACCGGGTCTGGATCGCGCGCGGGTCGCGCGTAGGGCGCGCGCCGCGCGCCGCGCGCGTGTCAAAGCGTCACGGGTACAACACGTGACTACCATGCGCGGGCAAAGCCCGAGCCCATGACACCCATGTTCTATGCTAAGGCACGCGGACGCTATGTATCGCAGTATCTACATACCAGCGGGCCAGTGGCTAAGCAGCCGCCTGGTCCGACCGCTAAGGGAGGACGCTAGGCCGTGAGATATCGCCACCCGCCTGCGGAGGGGCCACCCTAAGTTGTGGGCATAGGCCACCCCAAGTTGTGGGCATGCGCCACCCTAAGTTATGGCTCAACAACAGGTTTTAGCCAAGCCAAGCCAAATACCAGCTATTGTGGTTTGACTTGCGAGACCTTCGATTTGGCTTGCTTGCGGGCATGTCGATTTGGCTTGATTTGACAATATTTGATTTGTTGGGCGCGCTGGGACTCCCAGCCGCTTGATCGTCAGCACGGATACAGGCCTTGGTTCCAGACCCACTGGAACCAACGTGCCATGTGAGGGGTTATGGGGCAAGGGGCAAGGGGCAAGGGTCAAAAAGTGGGAGGGCCTGGGGGTTGTTAAGGTGCATACTTATCAAGAGGCACTCGCACTGGGACTGCTTGCCAGACACTTGGAACAGAACCTGCCTACCCAACAACAATGGCTTCCGAGGATGTGCAAAACCCGCCCGCAGAGGCAGGCCCGGCACTGCCGGACTATGTCCTCGACGAGGATGCTGTGCTCAAAGACACCGACGTAAACTGGCGCTACGGCAGAGCACCAGATTACAGCAAGACGCGCAAGATCTGGTCCGAGAGTAAGCGCTGTTCCCGCCTTCAATCCCTTAGCAATGCGTGAAAGTGGCTGACTGACGCTCGAACCGACCAACCCTCCAGCCAAGAAGGCCAGCCACGAAGCGCGCAGCCTCCCCGACCTGGTCGAGAAGCTTGTCAAGAATTGGGAGATTGAGGCCAGCTACAAGACGAAGCTCTCGGATTGGCGCACCGTCGACCCCACGGCCTACACTTTCTCGGTCAACGGCGGTCCGGCAATGACAGGCGAACACATGCTCAAGGTGGGCACGTACAATGCACTCATCGAGCCCAACGAGTTCTACTGCCCCATGCGTTCCAACTTTGACGCCAGCCACAAGACCTTCAAGCGCATGATGCCCAGCTTCGCGTGGGAGGTGCTCGAGGTATACAGCGGGCCGCCCAAGGTGGCGTTCAAATGGCGGCACTGGGGGACCATGAAGGAGGATTATGTCGGCACCAATCCGTAGGTTCTCCCCCCGTCGCTCGATTTTATTCTGTTTTGCGACGGTCGTGCTGACGTATTGGTGCAGTGAGGGGGAAAAAGTCACCATCAAGGCACACGGCGGGGTGATCGACATTGAAGGCATCGTGGTGACGCAGGTGAACGACAAGCTGCAGATTGAGAGTATCGAGGTGTTTTTTGACCCCTTGGGCATGTTCAGGCAGATGGCGCCCGATGGCAAGACGGGCGTGGCCAAGGAGAAGGTGGCGGTATAGACGGGCCGGCGTCGCCGAGAGAGACACTATACAGCTTGCTGAAGAATTGGCTGATTGAAATCAAATGCGCCGTTAGCCACCTCAGCCTCGCTTCTGTGTCTCATTGATCTTACTGCAAAGGGAATGTTTACCGATACAGAGGTGGCCGTCATGGTCGAACGTGTTCTGAGGGATGGCTCGTCCAAGGGCGACATGCACAACTGTGCGGCCCTCGCCCCTCGCCTCTGGCCTCGAAATCGCAGAGGGGATGTGGAGGGGCATGAGCGAGGAGGGTGAGAAGACGGATTACATCAAAATTAGCCCAGTGCAGAAAGGGGCCCGAGGCTGAAAGAGCGGGCGGAAGACAGGCTACTAACTGGTGTGGTATTTATGGGAAAACAGCACCGTTACACTTGATAGTGCAGCCAAAATATTGCGTGGGAAATTTGATCGCTCGACCAGCCCTCTTAACAGACACGGCGGCGAGTTCCATGTCGTAATTACAGGTCTGCGACCTCAACTGTCGGCATGGCCACCGGCCACCCAAGGCGAAGGAAGGAAGAGGGCCTTTCCTCCCATCAACAAGGGCCCAGACACCACGGTTCCTTCCTTGCAAGCGCACCAGCAGCGGCTTCCCTTCGGTTCTGCAGGAAAGCACAAATATGGACCGCAACAGAAAAGAACTGGATTTCAAACACAGTTCAGACCTCGATCCCCAGACCACAACCATCAATACACAACTTTTCTTTCTTTTCGCATTTCTTGTTGGAATCAAGAGAATTTCAGTATCCAGCTGCCAACACACACCACACCGGCCAAAGATGTCTCTCGAAGCCAACACCAAGTTCATCAACAAATATGTGGCCACAAAGAAGGGAGGCCCGTTCGAGCTGGTCCAAGGACCGTACCCCGAGCCGGACTCTGACGAGATATGCATCCGCAACCGCGCTGTGGCTCTGAACCCCATCGATCTAAAGTGTCTTCACCAGAACGTGAAAGCTCAAGCCTGGCCTGCCATTCTCGGCGTTGACGTCTCCGGCGTGGTCGAAGCAGTCGGCAAGGACGTCAAGGATTTTAAAGTCGGCGACCCCGTCTTGAGCTTGGCCGGCTTTGGCGGGCGCGCTGGCGGCTTCCAAGACGTAACCACGGTCCCAGCACACTTTGCGTGCCGAAAACCAGAGGGGTGGACCTTTGAGCAAGCCGCATCCGTCCCGTGGGACTCTCCCCACCCCCCCATCCAGCCCTCGAGAGTATTACTGACTTGCCAAACCCAGACTTTGCTACCTCGTTGCAGCCGCAATGCTGACCCTCGGCCTCGGTCTTTCTCTTCCAGCACCCCCTCGCCCCACCACAGCCAGCGTCGCCGCAGACCCCGACGTCGTCCAGCACATGCTCCTCTCCCCGCTGACCCCTGACACGGCGTCCTCCTTCCCTTTCGACAGTGCCTCGTCCTCCCCTTCCGCCCCAGCTATAACCATTGAACCGACATTAGTGCAGCCCCCCAGACCCAAGATCGACTCAGTCCTCGTGCTCGGCGGCGCCTCGGGCGTGGGCGCCTGCACACTACAGCTGCTGCGCGCCGTCCTCCCCGACGCAACGATCATCAGCACCAACTCGCTCGCGCACAACGACAGCGTCAAGATGAAGCTCGGCGCAACAACCTGTGTGGACCGCCGGCTGCCGCTCGACCTGCTGGTTGCGCGGATCAGGGCGCTGACCGGGGGCAAGGGGGTGGATGCGATTGTGGATGCCGTGGGGTTGACGGCCAAGATTGGGCCGGAGGAGTCGAGGAGGATTTTCGGCGTGCTGCGGGACGGGGGCCCAAGGATCTATACCACAGTTGTTACGGGTGCGAGGCCCGAAAAGGTGACGGTGCCGGAGGGGGTCAAGAGCAAGTCGATCATGGGTAGGATGGCGTTTTTGGGGCCGCATGGGGACAAGGTGATGAGTCGTCTGGGGGAGTTTGTTGAGGAGGGCTGGTTTGGGCTGCCCTTGAAGGTTGAGATTGTCGGGAGTGGGTTGAAGGCGATCGAGGGTGGGCTGGAGCAGTTGGCCAATGGCGTCAGCGGGACGAAGTTGGTTGTTGGGTTGTAGTTGATATGTCACTGTACATGGTGCCAGTTGGCATCTTGGAGAACTGTTTCAGACTTTCAGTACTCAAATAGCGAAGTTTGAGTATTACTAGCGTCATTAGAATGAAGAAATTCGCCCCTTTCCACGGGCGTGCTGAACATGGACCTTGATTTCAGACAGTTTCTGCTTCAGACTCCAGACACTGACACATTACGAAGCGGTTGTACAGTAGCGTCACCGCATTCCGGACTTGTTGATCTCGGAATGAAACAGGACGTTGGCATTTAACTCGCTTCAGGATGGCATGGCTCGGGATACATTGGCGATTGGCCCTGGAGCGCAGATCTTGTAAACTATCTTGATCAACCTGCCAAGAAGACTGCTGTCGAGGTTGTGATACCGCCAAGTGTTGCATCAGCAACCGGAACGAAGATACGAACAGAGTGAAAAAGATGAGGAAGATGTATTGTGGGATGAAGAAGGAAGAGGGGAGATGGCCCAGCCAGACCCTCAAGACCGCAAGATATACCCGAGATCCAGCTCGACAATACTGGCCTGGTACCGTCTCCCCTTTCCATGATCTTTTTTTACTTGAGTGTTTCTCGCGCCCTATCTTCGGATCTACGCCGCGCTCGCCATCATCACTACCCTCTTCGTCGTTTTTTTCCTTGCAAGACAATGACGTGCCCTAGACGATGGCTAGGATAAAATGGCAAAGCACTTTGCGTAAAGCTGTTGCCGGACGATGGCTTTCCTGTTGTTGCTGCACATCTACTCTCTCACCGCACAAATCCAGCATCACAAGAACCACAGTCACTTTGGCGGAGTGGTTAACGCGCTGCCCTGCTAATTAATTCATGATTAGCATGCGAGGCAGTTCCCTCGGGAGCGTAGGTTCGAATCCTGCAGGTGACGAATTATTTTTGCTGGCCTCTCCCTCGAGCCCCTGAAATGGATCAACACAGGAACGCTACCATGTACGGAGTAACTCTCTCATCCTTTCTTCGCTTGATAAACTACCGCTGATGTATGAATTCATGCCCGCCTGGCGGGGTACACATCCCATTCGGTTTCCCCCTTCTGGATCGTCAAGGGGGCGGGTTTGGGGGTTTGTTTTGGGGGTCTAGGGGTGTGTTCAGGGGCTTCTGTTGTTTGGCGTGCGCATCGAATAGGGACGCGAGCCATGACGACAAAGCTGTCGTCCTTGCAGTATGTCCGGGACAGCAATATGAACCCGAACTTGTCATATAAGGGAGCCACATGCTCCGGTGTCTGGACATAGCCAACCAACCCCCTCCTATCCATATAGGCGCATACCATCTTCAACAGTCCTGACCCAAATCCCTGGCCCTGAAAGTCGGGGCGGACAAAGAATTGGAGAACCCCTAAAGCCAGCTGGTCAGTAGCTTAGGGAGCGTTGTGATGGGGGGCCTCAGCTCACTGTAGATGGGCGCATCGCCCAATATGCTCGCAAATGATCTCCGGAGCTCATTGTGCCAATCCCCAAATACCAACCAAAAGGGCATGTTTAACGCCCTTGGGGCGCCAACGTCCTCGTGGGGGAACCGGTCCAGCTCCCACAGGCGCAGTGCCGTCTTGGATCTTACTAATGATCTCTTGATTTCTCGTGTATGCTCTTGCATGCACGCCGCGTACCCAACGGGCGTCAGTTCTCTAGTCTCTCTGTTGCGGAAGTCTGTTCAGCAATGTCAGCTGCATCGCACCATCTTGCGTCTGGGACGAGTTTCGGAGGAAGCTGTTCGGGTTTGGCATACACGCTTTGTATATTTCCGTGCCTCCACCCTCACGCATCTGGTTCAACCCCTCCGCAGCCCACCGGACGAGTTCCTCCCATTCCTCCTCCGTAAGCCCCTTTCCTCCCGCAGCACGATCTTCATACACATTGGGGAAAAGAAGTTTCGCAGCGGGATACGACTTCATAGCTGGCAGGGCGACGTATCGTGCCAAAGCGAGCGTGCTGGTGGGGTCGACTTCGGGCACCAGGTCAGAGTTGTTTATGATTGTTTCGAGGGAAATTCGCGGCTTGTTGTGAGGGGGATCCCTATCTGTGCTGCACAACCCAGGGTATTGTCGTACATAGACAATCTCGACCCCCCCAGGCCTAGGTGGTGACGCCTCCCGTTTGTGTTTGAAGCCGATCGTTCTGGCCAGGCTGGTCACGGCTTGAGCTGTCTCTGCTTGGGTCGTCTTTTCCTTCCCGGATTCTGTGTTGGTTGTGGGACTTGTGTTGGGTAGATTAATGTCGGGTTCTTGTGTAGTATTGAAGCGGGCGTTGTCATCGTGAGGATTGTCGTCTTGTGCGCTGTGTGCGCCTATTGTCTCATTGGCGGGCATGGTTTCGTCTGGTACCGTAGTGTCTAGGGAGTTGTCCGATGCTAATAAGCCTATGCTGAGATACAGGATGGTACATTAATAGGGTAACGGGGCGGTTGCAGATGAATGGGATGGCAGGTTGCGCTTAGGAGAACTGAGGTATGGAGAAGTTAGGTGAAGTACCGCAACTGTGACCTGATTGAGAAACGTGTACTTATTTAAAGCCACGGCAACAACGCAGTGAGCGGTTCTGTCAGGACAGACTGCAACACAAAGAGAAGGGTCTATCACCGCTCAACTCTTTCCGTCTCGACTTCTATGATCTCGAAAATGGTCTGCACGGATTCTACCCTCAAGCACTCTTGCCGATTGAAAAGATCCAAAGTCAGGCCGGACAGTGGATACCCAAGCCAAAGCCCAACGAGCATCAAGAAAGGATAGGGGAAAACAACGCATTATGAATTTGATCCATTAGCAAGGCCGGCAACTTACGTATCATCCCATATGGTATCTGAAACAGCGGTATACCTTATACTCACGGCAGCACAATGCTCAAGTCCAGCTTCCGACTGCTCCTCCCAACATATGCCGTCTTTTTAGCCCCACTGATCACCCAGTCCTGGCTGACCGTATCCCAGTTGCTCAGATCCCTCCTGGTCAGCTTCCCCCTGAACTGTGCCGTCTGGCCCGGATCGATACGCAGGCGGTCAAAGTCGCGAAGAACAACCTTTGGGTCATCTTTGCCACCCAGAGAGACATACAGCTGCGGCACCTCATCGCCCACAATAGACCCTGTGTTCTTGATGTCGGCCGTAATGGTATACAGCACGTCGTACAGTTGGCGATTGCCGCCGGGCGAGTTCTTGCCTGACGCTCGCAGAAGCGGCTGCGCCTCGTCGTCGATGGCATGTGGCGGGAGAAACTCGTCTGCTGTCTGGCCGTAGTGCGGGTCGGCCGAAGCCTTTTGGGGGTCCGTGGTATTGAGGTAGGGGTAGATGTACTGGTAGATATACGGGAATTCGTCACCTGGGAACAGGTAGTCGTTGAGGTCGGTCGAAAAGTTGCCAAAGGTTGGGGCAGCAGCGGTCTTGCCTTTCGTTGGCCTATACTGACCAGCATCCGACTTCTGCACCTGGATGTTGCTGTACTCGAAAGTGGTGTAGCTGAGACCGTGTCCAAATTCGTAGATGACCGACGTGTTTGCCTTGTCAAAATAGCGATAATCGATGAACACGCCCTCGCTGAAATCCTGCTGCGGTGCGCCGTTGCCGTTGTTCGGCTTGTAAAGAACGTCGGCGCCGTAGCCCTCTCGCGTCGCGCCCCAAGTGAACGGCGTTCGGCCCGCGGGGTTGACCTTGCCATACAAAACATCGGCTATCGAGTTGCCCGACTCCTGACCGGGGAGGCCTGCCCAGAGAATCGCCGTGATGTTTGGGCTACTATGCCAATCCGTCACGAGAACAGGACCGGTGGAGTGGATAACAATGATTGTGTTGGGGCACCAACTCGAAACGTTCTTGACCAAAGCATCGCCATCCCTCCAGAGGGTCAAATTCTTGCGGTCGCCAATGTTCGCATCCACGTTGATGTACCCTTCACCCGAGCCAGCATTGACGAAGACGATTGCTGTTACGTTGGCCTGAGACACCAGCGCCTTCGTTTGTGAGGTGGCATAGTTTGACAAGATGCTCTCGTATCGAGATCCATCGTCGATGGCTCGGGCCTGGATAGCAGCATCAGGGGTGATGAGATACGGGAAGTTGGCGGTGCCGGAGCCCCAACCCATGGCCAGTGTGCCATCGTCACAACCACGGTCAGCGCAGGCATTCGGGCCCTTGGGATTTGAACCAGCATCTTCGCCAATAACGGCAAGAAACTTTGGCTTGTTCAGGGGTAAAGATCCCGTGTTCTTCAACAGCACAGTCCCCTTGGCGCCGATTTCCCGAATGAGCTTCCCGTGGTCGTGTCGGGCATCAACGTGGAAATTGATTTGCTGATATCCTTTGTTTGCAGCCTGGTGGATTGGGCCGTACGTATCCAAAGTCCAGAAGGAGAAGTTGATGGGGTCCAGGTCAGTGTTCTTGCTGACCTTAAAGAAGGCGGCCATGATGCGCATCGCCATGTCGTCGAGACGATAGGCAGCGACTGTACCATTCAGGACCGCCAGCGTCATGTTTGTTCCCCAGTAGCTGAGGCCGGTGTTGAATTCCGTATCCCCTGGCATGGACATGTCGAGACCAGCAACGGCACTTGCTGCACCAGTGTGCTGTGCCTGCCAATCGCTCATGACAAAGCCCTGGAATCCGAGCTCGTTCTTCAGAAGGTCGTTCATAAGCTTGGAGTTCTGGCAGCCGTACGAGTTGTTGACTTGTTGGTACGAGCACATCACGGACCCAACTCCCGCGCGAACGGCATCGGCAAACGGCCAAAGGTAGAGCTCGTGCATCGTCTTGTCGTCGATATTGGAGGACAGTGTCTCGGAGATGTTGAACCCGTACGATTTCGCCTCTCCCACCTGTCTGAAATGCTCTAAGTGGATGTCAGCTTGTTTCTCGAGCTTGCCGCAAAAGGTATGTCAGAAGATGTACCTTGCTCATTGCCAATAAAATGTTTGGCACAAGCAATGACCCCGGCGTCTTGAATTCCCTTGATCGACTCAGACATGCCAGCACCCGTGAGAACGGGATCAGGGGAGAAACCTTCCCAATTCCGACCGCCAGCAGGCATACGGCCCAAGGGACCCGCCACGGGTCCAAGGAGAACGTTGACCCCTTTGCCCCTGAACTCAACTCCCATAGCATTGCCTCGTCTGTTCATCAAGCCTCGATCCCACGTGGCTGCGGTAGTCTGGCCAGAGGGAAACGCCGAATTGAAGTCTGATCCCCTCATACCAAGCGGAGAGTCGTGCATGCATAGGCTACGCAGACCTAGGCGAGGGATAGCGCCCACCTGGCCGACGCACTGCTCTGCCGCCCAGCTAGATTAATTTTAGTATGTCTAAGAAGACTGAAAATATTCTCAGGGGGCCACTCACCCGACACCAGTGGTCAAGTTAACTTTTTCCAGCAGTGTCATCTGGGACACAAACTGCTTGGCCTGGGCATACGCCTCCTTCCAGCCATCCGCGTCGGGACTCATCCATGGCGACGGATAGAAAGGGTCAGACGTCGCAAGGTCCCTCTTTTGGATCTGCTGGTGGCTGTTAACGAGCGAGGCTCTGGCTCCGAAAATAAACAACCATTGGGCAGCATAGTTGAATTGCATCTTGAAGTACCGCCGCTGTGGAGCAAGCGATTGTGCTGCAAGTAGAGATCGGAAATCCGTGGAAGGAGTCCTCTGGAAAGACCCTGGACGCTGGAAACGGGACGAAACGAGCGGCACCAACTCCACTGCTCCAGACCTTCCATGGGTTCAACGCAACAGGGAAAGAAGGAGGAAACAAATGAAGCAGGCGTGTGCTCATGAATTGGCTGCCATACCTTTTCTGCTGATCCGAGTGCACCTGCAACAAGACTGCCGCTTGCCAAGGAGGCAAGAACAACAACAAGTTTCATTGTGGATTGCGTTCGTTCCACACAAAC